TATCTGCAAGCAGTAAAATAAAGATTCTTACATCCCTTACCAAAAACTGTCTGCACTCAGTTTACTATTTATAAGTTTGTATAAACTCTAAATGATATGACAGACTTTACAAATTTATTGTAATACTCACTTTTATAGAAACTGAAAGGATTTTAATCGATATATCACATATTCTGAAACACCATATGTGTCATAACATCTTAAAGAAATTTTTTGCGCACTGTATATTTTGGGGCACATTGTTTTCTTCAAGTTGTAAGGTGTGGGACACATTTTAAATCATTCAAAAGTGATATGTAAGAAAATGCACTCAAACTTTAAAGTTTATTTTGAAAAATATTAGTACTGTGTACTCGAGAAGAAACTCTTTAATCCACTGTAGCATCACCCCATCAATCAATCCAATCCTTCTCTGGCACAAGCACCACTCATCCTTTCAGTACATATTTTTATAGGTCCCTCATGCCATGTAAAATTATCATTGAAGGCAATACATCTTCTGCAGCTGCTGAAACTAAAAGGACCAAACTTAGATTTTGTTTAATTTGCACCAGTCGTGCAAATTCTCACTTTTAACCTACGACTGTAAACAGCATCAACTTGCTTTAACAATACTTTTTGTAACCCATGTGAGCACTCACAATGAATATATTTTCTATTAATGCTTCTAACTGGAGAGATATTCTCATTCATTCTCTCTCTCTCTCTCTCTCTCTCTCTCTCTCTCATATGCTACATATACAGAGTTTGTGGATGTATTTTTACCTTTAACAGATTACTCATGAAGAACAAAAAAGGGAATAAATGATAATAATACAAGGTTAATTTCTTCTATTTTATTATCAAATGTTTTATCAATATATATATATATATATATATATATATATATATATATAGATATATATATATATATATAGATATATATATATATATATATATATATATATATATATATATATATATATATATATATATATATATATATAAAGAATACAAATCATATGGCGAATAACAACCCTCTCAAGCGTACTGGATCCACCAAGGGATCACGTTTGTCAGGGGTTAATTAAAATAGATGCAATAAACTGACGACGAACAGTACGAAACTAGTAACTAACTAGCCTAAGCGCTTTCGACTCTTAATGAGTCTTTTTCAAAGGCAAATACAAAACATAGTTACGACAAACAAATAAACACAAAAACGTTGCGTTTGTAAACCTCTACATTTCTATCTTCACATGTGCTAAAACTATAAATACAACCAGCTTGTATAGACTAGTTGCGGAAACTGAAAACGTTGTATAATTCCCTAAAAGTCTACAAGCCAAAGCGACATCTATTTTTACTTTGTGTACATATGTAACGCAGATTATATCCCGGATATTTGGTTCTATACCGGTTATTCTTATAGTAAAAATTGAAGGATAAGAAGATTTAGAAAATGTTAAATTCTACTAGTGCATAGTTTTCATTTTCTAGTCTTCTTGGTTTAGACCGCTTGGTTTCAATGTTCTAAGGCGGCGTATCCAGTATGATGCCTTTTCCTTCCTGGTTTCGGAACTCCAGCTGTGGTTGTTGGCAATAGCGATAAGTATTATATCACTGAAAGTGTGGCCAGGGGAGGAGAAGTGTTCTGCGACCGGGCTTCTGTACAGCTTTTTTGTCATCCAATCAGATCTATGAAGGTTAATCCTTATGTGTAGCTTTTCAGTTTCTCCCACGTACTGAAGGCCACAGATCTTACATGTGATGAGATACATCACATTCTCTGTTTTGCACGTTTTGTTTGGACCATGTATGTTTAGTTTTTCTTTAGTCACTGTGCTAGTGAATGTCTTGGTCTCTATCATATGTTGACAGGTTTTGCATCTTTTATCGCCACAGGGTCCAGATTGACTAGGTTGGTTTTGACTAGCGATTGTTGTTAGCTTGGCCCTGACTAGGATGTCCTTTAGGTTTTTTGGTCTCCGGTAAGCTACTACAGGTTTGTTCGGAAGTATTAGGTTTAGTATGTCTGACGATTGCACGGTTGGCCAGTGGTTTGCGATGATTTTACCTACTTTGGGATTGTCTGGGTGATAGGTCAGAATAAATGGTATCCTATCAACCTTTTCTATATATATATATATATATATATATATATATATATATATACACACACACACATAAATATATATGATAAGTACAGTCACAAATAACTGGCTGGCATATATATTATTATTCGTATATGCAATGAACCAAATGTTTATGAATCTAATTTGTTTCGATTTTCAATGAAACTGTACAGCTTAAAATTTTAGAATGTGTAAGAGATCAGGTATGTAATAATACAAAATCATGGTTTGTTTTCTGAGCTGAAAGAAAGAACTTGTTTGATATGGCATATTAATTTCTCAGCCTATCAAACTCATTCTTTCCACTGACTTGAAACAAAACTGATTGTGGTTCTGTGTCTGATGAGGAAAACAATTATGAGAAATGCATGCATATATAAATTTATAAGACACCTACTGCAGCTTTCCTAGTTTTGTACTTGGAATATGCTGATCTTTCTGCTGCTCAAATTGATTGATATTAGATCACTTACACATCACCCAAATGTAAAAATAAGATACTGCCATCATATAATATAAATCAAACACATACCCTGATTCACCAGCACACTGAGTGAAAGAAATTCTGATTCTGTAAGGTACATATATAGATATATTTCTGATACAAGAATATAGGCAATAGAACATATATTCCCAAACAGGTATCTCACTTATAAACAAAAGTATTACAAGCAGCTTATGATACAGCCATTTCATGAGAATCTTTCTACTAGTGACCATTAACTTTGAGCTAAGGACTTGACCATTCTATAACATGCACACCTACCTGTCACTTAACCATTCTATAACATGCACACCTACCTGTCACTTGACCATTCTATAACATGCACACCTACCTGTCACTTGACCATTCTATAACATGCACACCTACCTGTCACTTGACCATTCTATAACATGCACACCTATCACTTGATCATTCTATAACATGCACACCTACCTGTCACTTGACCATTCTATAACATGCACACCTGTCACTTGACCATTCTATAACATGCACACCTACCTGTCACTTGATCATTCTATAACAAGCACACCTACCTGTCACTTGACCATTCTATAACATGCACACCTACCTGTCACTTGACCATTCTATAACTTTCACACCTACCTGTCACTTGACCATTCTATAACATGCACACCTGTCACTTGATCATTCTATAACATGCACACCTACCTGTCACTTGACCATTCTATAACATGCACACCTGTCACTTGACCATTCTATAACATGCACACCTACCTGTCACTTGATCATTCTATAACAAGCACACCTACCTGTCACTTGACCATTCTATAACATGCACACCTACCTGTCACTTGACCATTCTATAACATGCACACCTACCTGTCACTTGACCATTCTATAACATGCACACCTGTCACTTGATCATTCTATAACATGCACACCTACCTGTCACTTGACCATTCTATAACATGCACACCTGTCACTTGACCATTCTATAACATGCACACCTACCTGTTACTTGACCATTCTATGACATGCACACCTACCTGTCACTTGACCATTCTATGACATGCACACCTACCTATCAGAGTTAAAAAGTGACAGCATTGTTAAGGAGACAAGCCACAGTTTTACATTATTCCTTATTGTGACCTTGACCTTGAGGAAAGGGACCTATAACTCTAAACATGAGATGCTTTAAAGTATATATATATATATATATATATATATATATATATATATATATATATATATATATGTTGCATTAAGTAAAATAAATACATAGTGAAAATGTTTCTTTTGATTTATTTGCAATGAAATTACAAAATAAATGATGACAAAGCAAATCTACTATCTTTCATATCAGACAATAAGTTAATATTTTACCCTTTGACCTTTATGAACCTCACTTGTTACATCCCTTTTTTAACTGTAAAATTTATTGACATCTCAGGAATATATATGGCTAGTTTTATGTTCCTGTCTTTCAGCATAACATTGGTTGCTATGTTGACAAAATGCAATGCACATTTTTAAAAAAGTTCACTTTTTATCATAAGGAGGGAGGCTGTACCTGTTTGAGAATCTGACTCTAATAAATGCTGTTCTGAGAGTGGAAATACAGGACAACTATTACAAAGGACTTTTCTGATGCTTGCGACTTAAATATTTCAGCCATACAATCAAAATTAAATCATACAATAATAATACCTATATATTCTTTATGGTGGCGCTCACCAGTTATTATGTAATTTTGAGAGAGTGATCTATGTAAGGTGAAGTTGTTTGCATTTTAAAGATGCACAGTGGAGAAAATGTTGGGATACCTATATGCTTCTTTCATGTAATGTGGCTGAAATTTCTTTGGATATTGTATTTTTGGAAATTTTAAATGATCTTAGGACACTGCTAACCAAAATGACTGCTCTTGTGCTCCAAAAATCAACCTGAATTTGTCTAAAGCACACTATTCTTGGCAGCTATTAAAATAGGGAAAATGAATTTAGCCAAACTAGACAATACTAGCTTCTAAAAGTCCAATGAATGAAATACCAAATACATGAATTGTAAAAAAAGTTATCGGCTCTTTTTTTTTTTACAATTTACCTCTGAAGTTCGAGAAGTGAAAATGAATAGAGCTAGCACATTTTTGAAAGGTGCACATCTGGAGAAATGCCAAGCTGTATACAAACTAACCCATATTACACCCATCAATCATACACCAAAATAAAGGGAATTAAAGGTACTTTGAACAATACCTAAGATATACAAAGTCTTTTTTAAATAGCCAGTATAACTAGTGAGGAAACCCGGGGAAATTCATTTTCTTTAAAATTCTAACCCTATGCTAAATATGAAACTGTAGAGCGCCACCTATACTAAATGATGAAGTATGGACATACTATTTTAATCCAGATAACGGCTCTGGTGGTCTAGTGGTTAGAGCATCTGCCTCGGATATGGGAGGTCATGGGATCAATCCCCAGTCAAGTCATACCAAAGACTTATAAAAATGGTACTAACAGCTGCCTAGCTCAAAGCTCAGCATCAAGAGGTTAGTGGTAGGGCTGGTTGGCCTGGTGTCAGGATAATGTGACTGGGTAGGACATCATGCTACAAGTCTGCAGCATAATGCCCCAGTGCTAAACATCACTATAAACTGATACACTGCAGACATCATAGTGATATGACTGAAAAATTGTTAAAGCTACATTAAAAATCATAAACACCACCACCACCTTATAATCAAGATAACAGATGTCACCATGAAGGTTATACTGCATGATGAAGTATGGACATACTATTATAATCCAGACAACAGGTGTCACCATGATGGTTATACTGCATGATGAAGTATGGACATACTATTATAATCACTACAGGTGTCACCATGAAGGTTATACTGCATGATGAAGTATGGACATACTATTATAATCACTACAGGTGTCACCATGATGGTTATACTGCATGATGAAGTATGGACATACTATTATAATCACTACAGGTGTCACCATGAAGGTTATACTGCATGATGAAGTATGGACATACTATTATAATCCAGACAACAGGTGTCACCATGAAGGTTATACTGCATGATGAAGTATGGACATACTATTATAATCTCAACAGGTGTCACCATGATGGTTATATTATGTGATGAAGTAAAGACATACTATTATAATCACTACAGGTGTCACCAACATGGTTATACTGCATGATGAAGTATGGACATACTATTATAATCCAGATAACAGGTGTCACCATGTGGTTATACTGCATGATGAAGTATGGACATACTATTATAATCACTACAGGTGTCACCATGATGGTTATACTGCATGATGAAGTATGGACATACTATTATAATCACTACAGGTGTCACCATGATGGTTATACTGCATGATGAAGTATGAACATACTATTATAATCACTACAGGTGTCACCATGATGGTTATACTGCATGATGAAGTATGGACATACTATTATAATCACTACAGGTGTCACCATGATGGTTATACTGCATGATGAAGTATGGACATACTATTATAATCACTACAGGTGTCACCATGATGGTTATACTGCATGATGAAGTATGGACATACTATTATAATCACTACAGGTGTCACCATGATGGTTCTATTATGTAATGAAGTAAAGACATACTATTATAATCACAACAGGTGTTACCATGATGGTTCTATTATGTGATGAAGTAAAGACATACTATTATAATCACTACAGGTGTCACCATGATGGTTATACTGCATGACTCACATCACTGATGAATGGCTAATGACAAACAGCACTTGGAAAAAATGTTTATAGCTTTTTGTAGACTTACAATCAGATGAATATTCTACATTGTCTCATAATCAAGTTTAAAGTACAAAATTTAATGATTCAGAAAACATCACAATAATGTTTACTATGTATCCTGTAGCTTTCAAGCTGATACTTTTCCAAATGTATGCAAAAGAACTGAAGGGTTTTCAGGTGCCACAGCTGAAGTCAAACCTTTTAAAACTATCACCATCCCCCTTTCTCTGGCTATAGCCTCTAGAATTATAGTAGATTCTTCTGATATTTTTAAGTCATAAATATCTAAATGTTTTAAATTCTCACACTTTAGTACCATATTCAACAAACTTTTATCTGAAAATCCTTTAATCCAACTGAGATTGAGTTGTTTTAACTTTTTGGCATATCTAGAAATAGACTCAAGTCCCTTGTCTGTTAGGTGTTTACATGCTGCTAGATTTATGGTTTCCAATTCTGGCAATTTCTGAAAGAAACAAAAACCAAATACATTTCATAATATTTGTATACCGTGTTCTATTTGTACAAAAACTGTTTCATGATAATGATTAAATAATTTAGTGGTTTTCTCTACCGTAGCTGAAATTTTAACATGTTATTTACTGTATCATTTGGGAAATTAAAGCTAAGTGCCTTTTCCAAGGACACATGGAAGACGCTTACCCAGGCAAGCCTGGGTAGATAGGATCAAACCCCCAACCCTTATATTAGGAGTCAGATGTTCTACTGACTGAATTATGGTGACTCTGCTAATGATTTGAAACATTACAAGTTTAGAAACAAAATATTTTAAAATGTAAAGAGAGAAGGTTCTTCTAACTTTTTAGTATAGTACACATAATAAAAGAAGACAGTCATGTTTTGACTAATTGCTCTTCTTCATAGTTCAGCATCAAAACACATATTATGTCCACAAAGAAAATCAGCAATTATAGATACATAATTTACAACAGTAGCATCAAAATTTTCTCTGTGCTAAAAAGTAAGATTTGGAATAAAAAAAAATTTCAAAATTAAGAAGTATACCATAAACAAATGTTCAGCAGGGTTACTAATGTTAACTTGAATGAAATCAATAAATTAAGACCAGGCCTTTTTTGCATGGCCTATTTTGTATGACCTATTTTGTATATAAATTTTTAAAGTACAGAATCTTTGAACATGCTAAAAATGTTTAGCAATAAATAACCTCTTATTAGTTTTGATGACCACAAGAATTTTTTTCTTTTCTTCCTTTCAAATATTCAAAACAATCTTGTAAAGCTTTAGTCTGAGTAAAGCATCATTTAAAAGCTGTCAATTTATCATTTTTCATGAAGCACCAGTTTTGTTGATTTTAATTGTACCAGTTTTGTGGATTTTGTACAGTACATGTTTTTGTTGATTTTATGTATGCCAGGTTTGTGGATTTTGTATTTACTCACAATCAGAAATATCGCAGCCAAACAAAGAGATATTCTATGGAAAAACTAGCATATTTTTCTCATACAAGAAAGTGAAGTACTAACTTTTTGACAAAACAAGAAATAAATGATACAAAGAAAATAAACAAATTCAGTCATTGAGTTTTTTTTGTCTTAGACTGGGTCTTGGAGTAAAAAAACAGTAATTAAAATTTTGTGTCTTAAACTGGCTATTAGAGTAAAAACACCTAATACTACTCACAAAACCTTTTCTTATGCACAGCCATAAATTCACCTGCATATAATGCAAACTAAACTTCAAACAGCCTTGACTAAAATCTGCCATTAGATAATGCATTGGAAGATCTGGGTCTATTTAGAAAAAAAATTGTGTAAACCTAATCATGACATTTCTACTAAAATCCACATCAGAAATAAAGAGATGGGGTCATACAGTAAGAAAATGGGGAAATCACCAGAAAATGGCAGAGAACTCAGTCACATGATGAAATAAGCTGGGCAAAACAAAACAATGCAAAAAGTATTATGACACTGTCATGGAGTTATCTGCACAATAAAATTCCAAAATAAGCTGATACCTTTTGGTCAAAAAAATAATCAGCAAATCAATAAGCTGACAAAATAAACCAGAGGTCTCAGAAATACTTAATCATGCATATTTCGACACAAATTTTTTATCTGGGACACAGAAGATCACTTACGTCAAAGTCCTCTGTAAGCATTTAATAGTTTGGCAGCAAAATTCAAAGACATGACAGTCCTGCTTCGGCCACCTGCTTAGCGGGAAAATGTGTTGAACAATTAGTTGCGCCAACATTTACAATGATAATTCAGTGGCTGATAGACCCCTTGATGTACATGTTGTCATTATAAGAGTACATCAAAAGAACATGATGCAATGGCTGGGCAGCAAGTCCAAAAGCATCGACTGGCAGCTAGATGAGAAAATGTACTGATATTTACAGTGCTTGAATTCAGAGGCAGAAAGACCCAGACATGTAAATGTGGTCATTTATAAGAGTACATCAAATAAACAACTTTAGCTTTCATTATCGTTTTCACTACCTAGTGCAGTGGAATAAGCTGAGCATGTGACCTCAGAATCAAGCTGAAAATTTTACAAGTATTTTGGGGTCAAACGGCAAACTGACAAGATTGTAATGAAATTTAAAAGAGTACTAAAGTTGCCTGATCTGATAGTTCAGATGAGATGGTAGCAAAGTAATAAAGTGTGATGCCTAGCTTAGTGTTTGGAATAAGATCTCCCTTGGATTGACAAAATTCAGTATCAATCTGATGGACAAACAAGAGCTATGTCAATGTTCTAAAGAATGTAGAAATTAAACTCATTAGCAACCAACAGTTCTTCTAATTTGCAGTTTTCTGGGAGGGGATTGCAACTTTTGCTGGTGGGACTCCTATTTTTACCAAAATGGGATTCCTGGAGTCCTAGTTTTAAAATCCTAGTAAGACCTCTGTAAACATACAATAGTTTGTGACAGGCACATGATATTTTCTGCTAAACAAAAAACATGTAACTGCAATTGTTGCAATGTAGAAATTTCCAATGTGTTATTACAATCACTGTTGCAGTTGATATTTCTGCGGATTTCCTGGTTTCTTCCTCCACTATTAATACTGACTGCCATGGATAGCCTATCATGTGCTGAAAAATGGTGTTTAGCCCCAGAACAACAACAATCACTGTTGCAATGACAGCTACTGTAGTACTTCCAATGTGTTCTTACAATCACTGTTTCAAACAATAATTTACAGGTTCTTTATACAACCACAGATTTGAGTCCTTGACTGTTTACAATTAGATTTGCATTGTATACAGGAAAAATATATTGGCCATATTGATATATAGGTCAATTCAAATTTCATTAGAATGTCTAAAAATGCTTGTTCTGTGTTATTCATGCATATATTCCATCACAATTGTTAAGAATTGAAGATTTCCATAAAAAAGTTAAAATCTATCAAAACTGAGCAGCCATAATTATACATACCCTAATAATCTGCTCCAGTAGACTATCAGTGACTATGTAGCCACAATCCTTGAGACTCAAGACTCTTAAATGAGGGCACTGTGTCCAAATCAGTTTGAAGATACTCTCTGTTAAGATTATGCCCTCCAAGTCAAGATGTTCCAGGGCAGGTACCAACAGCTGACCAATAAGATGCTTATTCAACTTCTTTTTCCTCTTCAAGCGGTGAATCATTGCACTAGAAATCAATAATATGATACTTT